TTTTTTTAAATATAGGAGTATAGGAGAGAGAGAGAGAAAGAGAGAACTTTAATATTTATTCTTTAAATCACTTTAATATTCATTCTTTAATCATCAGCAGACACAACATCTTTGTTTTATATGTGGTGCTGAGGATCGAACCCGGGCCACACGCATGCCAGGCGAGCGCGCTACCGCTTGAGCCACATCCCCAGCCCCCATATACTCCTATCTTGAAGAGCTTTGCCTCTCCACCTGGGGGCCCCCTCACATTGAGCAACCCCTTCCCCAATGTCAGTCCCAAGCTCCCCCCATTCAAGGACCTGGTAACTCTGTCTGACCCAGTTGCCTCACCCTTCAGAGCCCATCTCGCGCAGGGGGAAACTGCGCAGACCCCGCACCAGTATGTCAGCTTCCCCGGGCAGCAGCAATTCCAGGTCCATGTTGGGGCCAGAGTCTGGCTGACTTCGGGTAGCAGTTGGGGCGGAGGAGATGATACACTTTAGGAGGACAGACTTCAGCAGGTCTGGACTCTGAGACCGGACAGTTGCCTGTTGGTTGGAGCGCGTGCGTCCTCGCCGCCATGGAAACAGCTTGGCGTCTGCGCAGTGAATCCTGGGTCCACCTATGCCGGTGACTCCTGGAGTCTGGAACCACCCTCGCCCCCGCTTGCCACGCCTACTCCGCTGCCAATAGTAACCCTACTGCGACTGTCATAAAGTTTTCTTCCTCACAACCAGGTGCGCCCGCGAAGTCTCTCCTGAACTCCACCAACTCTTTCCCTAATTGTCAAGTCAACCAGTGACCCCACCAGCTCCTCCTGCAGCTGGACTGTCTTGATCCTCTCGGATGTTCCTCTTCATGGCTTCCTCCTTATTTCTTGTACCCAGCATCACCAGTTGGATCTACTCCCTAAGTATTGCCCAGGACCCACAACGTCGTTCCATTCTACTTCAGACTGCTATTACTTTAATGGGGGTAGCTGCATCAGCCTTTTCACTAGATCTACTTCCACTCTGGACCCTTCCCAGCAGCCAGGATTCTTAAAGATGTACATCAGATATTACTCCTTTGCAGGAGGGTGGTTCTGCGATTATCTCTGGCCCTCAAAATACTGGATTAGGGACTGGCTTGTAGCTCAGTGGTAGTGTGCTTGCCTAGCACGTGTGAGGCACTGGGTTCAATCCTCAGCACCACATAAATATAAATAAAGGTATTGTGTTCATGTACCATTAAAAGTGTATATATTTAAAAAATACTGCCGGTGTATTCCAGGGGCTCAGAGACTGAGGCAGGAGGATCACAAGTTCAAAGCCAGCCTCAGCAAAAGTGAGGGGCTAAAAGCAACTCAGTAAGACCTTGTCTCTAAATAATATACAAAATAGGGCTGGGGATGTGGCTCAGTGGCCGACAGCCCGAGTTCAATCCTCGGTAACCACCCCCGCCGCCCCCCACAAAAAAATACTGGGTCAGATGTGGCTTCCCAGAGTTTTGCAGTTTCTACTTCTTGCCTTTCTCCTACCTCAGGATTTAGACGTGGGGTGGGGGGCGGAGAGCTGTGAGGATACTGGGGATTGAACCCAGGCCTAGCACATGAAAGTTCTACCACTGAGCTGCATTCCCCATCCCTTTCTATTTTAGAGACAGGATCTTGCTAAATTGTCCAGGCTGGCCTCAAACTCGCAATCCTCCTGCCTTGGCCTCTTGAGTAGCTGGGAGTAGAGGCATGTGTCATCATGCCTGGAAGTCTTTGGCTTGTATTTTTGGTTCTCTTTGGTCTCCCATGATCCAGTCCCATGGGCTTGCCTTGGGTTCCTCATACATGCTTCAGGGTTTTGCATTTGTTTCCTTCTATTGGAATACTTTTCCTAGTTCAAGGCTCAGTTTAAATCACTTCACCTAGGTCTGTTTTGCTTATCTAATCCAGAGCAATCCCTGCTTCCCTCGGAACTCAAACTGTTCATCACCTCTGTTTCTTGCTGTTTCAGTTTACAACAGCATGTTCACTTGGCCATTGCTGGCCACGCCCACCAGATGGCGCTCCAGAGCGCCCGGACCTTGACTGGCTCATTTAAGGCTAGGTTGTCCACAGCGGAGGCAGCACTCAGTAAAAGGTTGAGGCAGCTGGGGTGCCTATAATACCTGTAATCCTAGCTACTCCACAGGCTGAGGAAGGATGGTTAAAAGTTCAAGGCCAGCTTGGGCAACTTAGAGAGATTCTGACTGAAAATAAAAGGCTGGGGATGTGATAAGAGTGCCCTTGAGCTCAATCCCCATACCGCAAAAATAAATAAATGAATAAAGGCAGGTTGAAGTCAATGATTTTATTTACAGAACTAAGAGTCAACCTACAGAGGATATGAACTAGTCTACTTGTCTAGTCCCTATGTGGGTTTAGCAGGAGGGAGTAGCCACAGCAATATAATCATTCAGGAAAGCTTCACTTCCAGCAGATGATGATGTTGGGGTCATTCTCCAGACGCTCATCCAGCTCATGGTAACTCATGCCTGGGTGGGGTGGGGGAAGTGAGGTCAGTGATCTTGGCCTACCCACAGTGCCCTGACCTCACCCTGTCTGCCCCACTGCATGGCTCCACCTGTCTTGCAGCAGATCTCATCATAGCTGTGACAGCCTGTGTAAAGCCGGGCAGGGTGGCTTCGCTCCTCTCGAGACACCCGCACAGGATATTTCTGTAGTCGTCGGATGAGATTCTTCATTAGCCCAAACTGGATCAGTTTCCTGGGGTGAAGATTGGGAAAGAAGTATGATGCTCTGGTCAGTTCTCCTTATAGCCAGACCAACTCTTTCCTGCAGCAGTTCAATTCTATCTCAGAGCCAGACTGCCCTGCAAGCTCATCATCCCCAGGAATCCTCCCTGGATTAGCAGTGCCACGATTCTTCTCACTGGGAATACCCTGCTTCTTCTGACCCAGGGTTCCTCCAGAGAGACAAAGAGGGTCTACCTTCCCTCAGGCAACCCCCTCATTTCCCAAGGAATGGCCCTCTGACCGTTCATCAACATGCTGTAGCTGCTGGGGGTGGCGGCCGATGAGGTCTCGTACAGTAGTACCAGGGCTCAGGCTGCAGTACAGTTGGAACACATCCCGGAGACTGGCTCTTTTGTGCCCTGTGGGTGCCAGGATCAGCTCACCAAGTGACCCTCCCCTTCCCAAGATATCTCCCCAGAGCCCACTACTACCTTGCTTGGTCACGTAGGATAGACATGCGTCCTGTAGGGACTTGTCATCTACAAGATCCTGGACCTTGGGTGTTGGACAGTACACGTTGGAGTACTAGAGAATAGCAGAAGGCACAGGGAACTGAGTGAGGGGCCGGGAGGCTGGGCCAGACATTGCTGAACCATATCCCAAATTCACCTACCTGGAGAATGGACACCAGTGTCACAACACCATAGTACCTAAGAGAGAGAGCTGAGCTCAGCTTCTGAAGACTAGACTTTTCCAGCTCCATACTCAGGGACCTAGGTTCTTCCCTGGCTGGTGACCTTATGCAAGGCATGACTATTGCCCCACTCACAGTAGGTTCTGTATGGCAATGCGCACCAGGTTGAGCTCCACATCTGCCTCAGCAGAGATCTTCTGGACATGGCGGAAACCATCGATGTATGGCAGGATCTGGCAGAGCAGAGCAAGGTCAGTGGGGTTAGGATGAGGCCAGTGCTGTGGCCAGGACAAGGTGATGCTACTCAGGGACAACTGGCACACCTGTTGGGTGGTGAGGTCCCACTGTGAGTTGATGAAATCCTCCTTGTCCTTGGTAAAGACAGGTACATCATACTCTTGGGCCACAGGAGGGTCTGGCCGCTGTTCAATCACCTTCAAGTGGATGGTGTTGGATTCATCTGCAGGGGACCCCACCCATATTCTCAGTGCCATCTCTCCTGAGAGGCCCTCAATTACCATCCAGCCTTTCCAATATCCCTTGAGGCAGGCAGGTGGCTCTGGGGAGGGTCATTCTTCCCCTTTTATGGAGTGAGAAACTGAGGTCCAAAGGGGAAGGAATATACACAAGGAGCAGAGCTGGATAGCTCTGCTGGCTGCCCCCCATTCCCAGCCCCATCATGTACTGTACCCAGGACATCACCTCAGCCTCTGGCTATTTCCTGGCCACCAGTTTATTCAAAAGTCTTGTCCTTTTCCCCCCAAAGGATGTGCTCACCTTCTGCCACTTTCCCATCCCTCCCGTTCTGTTGTTCTTGCAGAGGCTGGGCCATACCAATGGGTAGAGTGCACCGGCCAGAGGCGTTCAGCTCCTCCAGTAAGATGGTCATTATGGGCACCAACTTCTGCTTGCTCTCCTCTGTGGACACGAAACTGCTCTCTAGCTGGACAGAGCATAGACAGCATAGTGGGTATACCCCAGGGCACCTGACTAACTGGATGCCCTGCCTGGGTCCTGAGCTAGCTGTCAGGATCAAGGAGACTTTGGAGACATAGGAACACTTTTCCCAACTTTGCCTGCCCATACACCCAAGCCTATCATGTTGCAGACCTCCAGTGTGGTCAGGTAGCCAGCCAGCTTTTTAACAATGGGCTCCAGGGCACAGGTCTTGGCCTGGGCATCACACACGAACCCCAGGTTGAAAAGGAGAGCATTGCGGCTATACTTCTTGTGCTCAATGCACACAGGGCAGCCGATCAGCTTCTTTTCCATGGCTGTGCTGGATGAATGGAACAGAGTCAGGCCTCCCCAAGTCTGTTCCCTCCTCTTGGGACCCGTTCATCCCACACCCAGCCAGGGCCTCACACAGTGATGAGCTTGTTTTGTAGCTCTGGCTTGGTGATGATGTACACTTGGACGGTGTCAAACAGCTCCCTGGAGATGAAGTCTTCAGGGACCTGGGGAAGGAAGAGGCAAAAGGCCCCTGACTAGACATTGGGACTGGGTGGAGTGCACAGGGTGCATTCATAGGTGCTCCCCCCATTACCACCTTCAGGTATAAGTACTTTTCTCTAGCATTTTCCTCTCTCTCATTCACCCAGGCCTAACACTCCTTGGTGTTTTCAAACACATACTGTGTTCTCACAGGCTTCTTGGCTTTTGCATTTGTTGCTCCCTATACTTGGAACACTTTCCTCCATCTTTAATTTGCTATGCATCATTTAAGTTTCAATCCAGGAATTCTCTCAGACCACTCACCCCCACCTTCCATGGGACCTGACACCTCCCCTGAACCTTACAATTGGATTTCCCCAAAGCACGGCTCATGTGACATAGTATGTTTCCTTCATCACAACAGGAGCCGGGGGACCTGGGTCCTTTCTATTCATGGTTATCCGGGAATGGATAGAGATACCCGTGTGCAGCAAGGGGATTCAGTGCTATGTCAGTCGGCTGAGCTCCCGAGAGTGTCCCTCTCCCCGCTTAGTCGATAGCCCGGGCAGCACCTGATAGGTAATCTTTGGTCCCAGCGTGGGGTGGAACTCGCTGAAGAATATGCATTCGATGCGGCAGCTGCTGCCCATGGCGCTAGCGAGTCCTGGGTCCGTAGCTCCTTGTTGTTCGCGCGGAGACACCCCTATTCTTGGGAACACTGGTCAGAAAACAGCCCTGAGGCCTGGGCCACTGTGTCACGCAGTCGTGCGCGCGCGCGCACACACATACACACATACACACTCGAGAAGCCGTCTGCTCAGTAGAGTCTGCGTAGCGAGATTCAGAGGCGGGGCTTGGGGGGGCTCTTCCCAGGAAGTCCCGGGTGGGTAGATGTCGCACCCGGAAGTGAAGCGGCTCCTTGACGGAGCGGCGGCGTGCGCGGTAGGGTCCTAGTTATCCAGCAGTTTTTTTGGAGGAAACCACCACGTCTGATCGGCGCTGCAAGTGAGGTAGGCAGATTCCTAGCATGAAGGGACAGCGTGCTAGCGGCACTTGGTGGGGAGCATTGCACGAAGGGATTCAGGCTGTAAGTGGGACGCATCTGGGAACTACAATTCCCGCAGTGCTTCACGCGCTCCCACCTGGCGTTCCCACCAGCGACAGGGTGATGCATGCTGGAATTTGTAGTCTTATGTAGCCTTGCGTATCCTACCTGAAAAGTGGGCTAGAGATCAATACCGATTTAGATGCAGGTAGACGCTAACAGGTAGATCCTGACGGGGCTGCCAGTCCTCTTCTGGCCAGTTGTGACTATTTCCGGTACTGGTCTTGGTCTGTTTTTTCCTACCATAACTTCTTGGAAGAGGGTGGCATTCTTGCCCTGCAACTCTTCTTCTAGCGAGAGGTGTGGAACTGTCCTACTGGGGCACCCGACCCTTGCCAATGCTTCTTTGTTTTCAGGCTACTGACCATGGCCCTTTCTGTGGAGACCGAGTCGCACATCTACCGAGCTCTGCGCACTGCTTCTGGGGCTGCAGCCCACCTTGTGGCCCTGGGCTTTACCATCTTTGTGGCTGTGCTCGCCAGGCCTGGTTCCAGTAAGTAGAATTCATAGTTGACTTCTGGGAAAGGAAAGGCAACTTTTTCTGGGGGAGCAAGAGCAGTAGGAAGCCTTGGGCCTAACTCTTGGGAACAGGGCTGGCTGACTGAGGAATATTTTGTGTAGAAGGGATGATACTCTAGATGAAACATGGGTGTGGGGGCTCTGACAGCTTGGCCAAGCCCCACAGAGCCCATGGTTATCCTTTTCTTGTCTTGGTGCACCTCTTGGGAGATGCTGGGGGAAGGAGAGAGAGGAGTGGCAAGCATGCATGGCCTGTGGTCTAGGAAGAGAGAACAGGTGTGGAGTCAGCTTGTTGCAGCTAGCGGGGCGCGGCTCACATTTTGGCAGCACCTTCTTAGGTGATGGGCTGCCCTTATTCCTCAACCTGTAGGGATTGGTATTGCTGGTTTCTTCTTGCCTCAGCCCCATGAGGACTCCTCTTCTCATTCCAGGCCTGTTTTCCTGGCACCCTGTGCTTATGTCTCTGGCTGTAAGTAGTGGGTATGGGCAGCTCTCATGGGTGGGAGCATGGGTATGGGTGGTGACCCTGATAGCCTTTGACTCCTTGTGGACATTTAGTGTCTATTTGGAGGAGTTGCATGCTTCAACTCTTGTCTGGATATGTTCCTGACTTGAATCATAGTATTTGAGACCCAGTATAGCTGGGTGTGGTGGTGTATACCTGTAATCCTAGCTAGTGGGGAGGCTGAGACAAGAGGATTGCAAGTTCAAGGCCAATCTTGGCAACTTAGTGAAACCCTATCTCAAAACAAAAAAATAAATTAAAAGTGCTTGACATAGTTCTCCAGGGTTCAATCCCCAGTACCATATATACATCAAAAAACAAAAACAAAAACAAAAAACAAAAAACAAAAAAACCTAGGATAAATGGGAAGGTTTATTTATTTATTTTTTTTATTTTTATTTTTTTTTAAAAGACTTAGTTTCCTGATTCCTTTTTTTTTTTTT